CAGGCTGTGCCGGGGGAGGCCAGACTGGATGGGAAGGCGCTTGCTCAGCCCAGTCCCTGAGCCCCAGTCAGGGTTTTCCCAGGAATGGTATGGGGATCACCAGGGCATGGGCACAGGGAGAACAGTAAGGGCTGGCACTGCTCAGAGCCATAAAGCAATGGGTGGAACAGCTGCTGCTGACTCATGTCCTGGTGCTGGGATGGAGCTGCTGCCAGGAGGGAGCTAGTGGGGGCAGGCAGAGGCTGCAGGACAGGAGTGAGGGGCCCTGGCATGGCTGTGGTTTGGGAGTGAGGGGCAACAGCAGGGGCATGGCACTGGCATATCAGTGCTGCTCAGCACCCCACGTCCTGGTGAGTGAAGGGGGCATTTTTCTGTGATAAACAATCAAAAAGCAGATGCTGAAGTGCATAGATATTTAGAATTCATTTTATTATGATGATAGATGCACTGGTAGGCTTCCAAATTGCTTTAACATTGAAAATATATCAATAAAATATTGCCCAACTAATCCCTCTCTTTACAGTGGTGTTTCATTTTAATTGTGCAAGAACATGGATTTGGGGTATTTTAATGAGAATTTGGGGGGTTTTATTAGGGAATTTGCAATGTTTAAACAGGAAACACCAGGATCTCTGTTAGTGAGGCAAGAGGTAGGACCCTAGCAGATGAGCCTGCCCAGGGCCAGCACTGGGGACCCAGCTGGAGGGCAGACAAGGTGGCTGACCTCCTGGCCATTTGGGGCCAGAAGGACAAGCTTTGATTGTTCAAAGTGGGCCACCTCAAGGAGTGCATCTTCTGGGCAATAGCTGCCCAGATGGCAGAGTGGGGACACCAAAAGACATGATAGCAGTGCTGCCTGAAGGCCAGCTGTGCAGCTACAGCCCACTGGCAGCTGACCCATAGGCACAGGATGCTCTGTTGCAGTGACCGCAGCACAGCCCAGGTGGCCATGCAGTCCCCGTCTGGGTCTGGCAGGCATGCAGCCATGGGGCTGCAGGTGCAAGGGTGTGGACGATGTTGCAGGTCACAGCCAGGCAGCAGCCCTCACTGCCAGACTGCTGCGGTGGGTAGGGGGTGCAGGGGCCACTCTAAGTTAGGGCTGCTTCAGCAGTCTTGCTGGCACAAGGGGCTAGTGTCCTCTGTCTCTCCCACTTCTTCCTCCTGCAGCCTTCCTATCTCCCCACTACCTGCACCCCCCACCCCCAGCTCCACATCATCTCTGCCCCTTCCCTTCTGCTCCCCTCAGTCTCTGCCTCTTTCCACCCCACTCCCCAGTCTCGTCCTCTTTCCTACCCATTCCCCACAGTTCATGTCTCTCTCTCCTTTCCCCCCTGTACTGCCAGATGCTGCTTGGGATGTATTCCCTCCCCATGGAAGTGCAGCCCTTGCCAGCTGTGCAGCAGTATCAGCACTGCTGATGCTGAGCAGGGGACAGTTCCATGTACTCCATGTCTAGCTGTGCCTGACAGTAAGAGAAGGGGCACTGGGGGGATGCAGAAGCTATAAAGAGCAAGTGGGAGAAGGGACAGGTGGCTGCTGTGGGTCTGACTATGGCCCTGCCTACACTTCTCCCCCTTCCCCCCCCAGCTTTGTATGCAAATCTAAGACAAGAGGCTTTTCTTCCCATGCTGATTGCAGGGAGTTGGGGCACTTCATCTTAGATTCAAGTAAATATGGTAATGTTCTTCCAAGGTTTTTGGTCTCTCTTTTGTTTTGTTTTTTGGATTGATACAAATGGCTGGAGGGGGCTGGTTTACAGCTCTCCGTAGACTTCAGTACCTAAAAGAAAAATAACATGTTAGCTTCTCAGAACCTTTAAAACTGTCCTACATGCTATAAGCTACAAATATTTGCTACAGCGATTGAGAAACTGTCTTTGAAGTGTGTTTATTCCAGATACTAATGAAGTAGTTTTTTAATATTTCTATGCCAGCACATGAGTGTGCTTCGTTATAACAACTTACTCATCATGGGTATGATGTAAAGCCAGGGCTGTGCCGGGGGGGAGAAAGGGGGTGGCAAATCAAGGCAACCGCCTTAGGCCCCGTGCTTTGGGGGGCCCCGTGATCTGTGCCACATAGGCACTGCTGGCTCTGCTGCCACTGCTGCTGCTGACTCCAGCCATTGAACCCCCCCACCCCTAGGGACAGCTCTGTGCAGAGCCCATTGAAATTAATAGAAAATCTCTAATTGGATCTGTTAGAATGAAAAATAATACCAATGATGCAAGCTCTCTAAACAAAACCAGGTCAAGGGATTTCTTTTTGTTACTTCTTTATATTTTAGTAGGAGAACTATGGTTGTATTCACCGAGGTATTTTGGGGGGGCGGGGTTGCGGACAGTGCAATGAGTTTCTAGCAGCTATCAGGAGCCATGATTGTACTCTAGTGAGTGAGATTGTCATTCCAGGACAGAATCAAAATATTATCTCTTTGGGACTTCAACATATTCATGATATAATATATTCATAATATAATCTCCTTTTTGGTTTCTGTAAATGCTGCTACAGCAAATTTGATTCTTATAACTATTCTTGCAGCATGTTTAATTGACGTGATGACTTCTACTCCAAAACAAACCATTATTATTTGAAATTTGTTGAAACTGAATTACTGATAACAGCATTCTTGGTTGCAGTTACTATGTTCTGATGCAGATACTTCATGGGTCAATGGACTGCCGCATAATCATGGGATGTACCATGCTGAAGTGACTGAGGAGGAGAGGCCATCTCCTGGCAGCTTTCAGCGGGAAGCAGATGACATCCACTGTTTTCGCACCACTCGAATCAAATGCACTACTTCTCCTTTAAAATTAACCAGCCCAGAGAGGATTATAGCATTGCATCGGGAACTTAGACAAAACCATCGCAGTAATTACCAGGTCAATAAATCACATTCATAGTTTTTAATTTAATGAGATCAATTTTTCTTAGCAGTCATTTTACAGATTACATAAATATTTAAATCATCTTTTCAAAATGTATATTTTATTAGTAGTTAGGACAGTCTGAAGAAAATGAACACTTAGGGTTTTTTCTGTTATGAAGATCTTACCAGTTCATTAAGAACTGATAGTAGCTCTTAGAGTATATGGGGAAAAATCTAGGATTTATTTTCACCCTTGCAACTAAGATCAGCTTTGGAAATTGCAGTATTGTGAGAAATACTGATATTCCAAAACCTATTTAATGTGTAAATACTGACCTACCTTTTTCTTTCTTTCTTCTCTTCCCCCACTTTTTTTTAATGATCCAATTATTCTTGTGCCCTGAAGTTCTTTATAGTAATTTCCATTAACTGCAGGAATCCTGTTAAGGACAGACTGGATCAATTGCAATTGCATTTGTGACAGTCTGCTGGTAAACTAACAGGCAGCAGATTTTATCTTCTTTGAGGCAATACAACCATCTCTTAACTGTTTAGGAAGATGAGAGATTGCTTGAGCAAAATTAAAGAATCCAGTCATTGATGTTGCCAGCCATACCAGATCTCATGACATTTCTCTGTTGAACTTTCATGGTAACCTGAGAATAATTAAGTGAAACACAACAGACAGAAGCATTTTATGACAGTCATTGACAGTAGCGTGTGTTCCAAATGTGTATTTTCTATGTAAAAATCTACCTCTTACGGTAGCAGTAGAGTATCATATGAATCATTCTGATAATATTTTATGAAAGAAAAACCAACATTGTTTAAACAGGCTGATTTTTGTGCTACCCCTGCCTGGCAGAAGTCTTCATTAATCCATGGATAGAAGTGGTCAGTGACACTACTACCTCCACCACCACTGTCATTATCAATTTTACTTAGTGGAGATGGCAAAAAAAATGTAGGTGTTTCAGGTCATCTATTCTAACTCCTGTACAGTATAGAGAAGTTCTTGTTATATATTACATTAACTTCAGTTCAATTCCACTGAAAGCATAATATAAACCTCGTTTACAGTAAAATGAAAAAATCCTGCTGACATCAGCTGTAATATGCACAGAACCTTGTAGTCGATTTCACTCCTATCTTTATATCTTTGTAGATGCATTTATTGTTATGAACACTGAGAAGTTACATATTCGTCTCTCCTCTCCTCAGATACCTCCATTTAACTCTTTCAGTTCAAATTTGAAGGCTGACTGCAGTTTGTGGTCTCATGGCCAAGATGCGACTTCCTGGGACACAAGGTCAAAGGTGAACAATACACTGAATTTTTCAGAACGTCGCCCTTCCCATGCCATAAAGGAGAGGGACCATTTGTTACAATGTGATGACGTATTCCAGAGTCAAACAGGAAATCAGCATGCAGGTGCTGTTCCCCAGGGAAGGAAAAAGAAAAATGCCATTATGAGTAACACGTGGATCTCTAGAGAAAAAACAGATGGCTCAAACTCAGCTACCGCAGCAAAAAGCTATTTGTCAGACATGTTGTCAGCAAGTAATAAAGGTCGAAATCCTGTGGGGAAGAAATCAGATGCACTGGAAAGAGTAAAATCCTCAGAAATGAAGCAAGGTAAAGAGCCTTCATGACATGATTTTCCCATTTGTTATAAAAATAAATTATTCTTTGTTTCAGCTCTTTGTTAGACAAATCATTTGAGGGAATTTTTCAACTTAAAAATCTTTTTTTTTTTTTAAACAAATGAGTTTCCTTTCCTCTGTAAATAATGACTGTTTCTGTGAAACAAATGTTAATTGCAAATTTTAATGAAAAATTGTCATTTTCTGGCCCATCTGAAGCCATTCAGACGCAATTTTCAACATCCAAATAACTTTCCAGTTTTCTGCCTGGTGTTTGTTTACTATTTTTCATTTCTATCAGCTTGGACTCTGAAAATCAACTGAAAATCATTTTCTATTATTACGCATTGTTTCAATGGACACTGACAAATGGTATAGAAGAGTCTGTTTGCTGAATGCTTCTTTGCAATTTAAGTTAATGTGTTATGGACTTAGGTTCCCTAAATTGAAAATCTAAATTTTGGATTATTGATGCAGTCGTATCTTAAATTTTAATTTTTCCCTATCAAGCTCAATGATAAAGAAAGTAATAGGTAGGATATTCCTCTTTGTGTGAGATGTTGCTAAATATCACTGTATGACTGGTCTAGTTGCTACCTAAGCCCGTTTTTCCTATTGTAGAGCTTACCCACTCAAATAGTGTCATTGGCTGTGATAGGATTAGTTTGAACAGAGACTTTTCAGTAATGTAATGGGGGGGTGAGGGTTCACATCTGGCTCCCAGTTCTCTCTTCACCTACATATGTCAAAGTTAGACTTCAGAAGCTCCATTTTATCATTCCTACATTACAGCTTGTTTCCCTTCTTCTGAATTACTTATCCATAGTACTTTGAAGAGATGCATAAAAACAGAGAAACATGTGAATTAGTCAGCAAAGGAGATCAGTTCTGCTTCTGGATATTATAATCAGAGCTTGACATGGCATGTGAATGAATGCTATTAAAGAAGCTAGAATAGAAGGATTCAATCCAGAAGGAGGATAGAATGATTTGGTGGAATAACTTTAATTAGCATTTGGAAAGCTGTATTTTACAAGACATGACTAAAAGTTTCACAAGCTTCCATTAGATCTTGTATACCAGGGAATTTCAGAAAAAATCCTACCAGCACTAACACCAGCTTTAGCATTTTTGTAGCAGGTTAAACAATGAACATGATGGTCAAAGTGACAAAGCCAATGAAGACTAGTTTATATTGGGCTCCCACCAGAGTTAAGACTGGTGACGTTCTCAGTTACAGGATGTTCCTGAACTGGCCAAAGCAGTCTTCAACTATCTCGAATAGGCCATGGATCATGTCTGATGTGGACTGGGTGGATTTGGTGGCACATCAGTGATGGGGGACTTTCCCTTTAACTGGGAGCTGCACCTATGCTGTCATGGCTTCTTCCAACATCCCCCCTCCCACCCCTCTGGCTATGTGTAGGCTCAGTTTCCAACTGGTGAGGGGCTGCACTGGGACTGGGAAGCTGCAAATTGCATCTGCTGGGGCTGGGGGGCGGCAACTGCATCTCTGCTCTCCTCCCTCACCCCGCCTCCCAGATGTGGCACGGGCGCAGCTGAAAGCTCCATGGACCCAACACAACTCCTAAACCTGCACCCATGCCAGGGTTTGGCAGTAAGCAGCTGTGTCAGGGTCATGGCAGGGTGGGGAAGGGGTACAAGAGATACAGAGAGAAAGTGGCAATGGTGTGGGTGCAGGCAGAGCAGCTGTGCCCATGCTGGAGCTGGGAAGTTAGGGGTGGCTAAAGTTAAGTGGCAGTTTGCAGGTCCTTGTCCACGGCACAGCTTCCCCACCAGCAAGAAGCTGAGCCCACCTGCAGCCAGGGAGCAAGGTAGGGGCTAGGAGAAACATATGTGAAGGCAAAACCCTTCAGCTCCACAGGTCAGATCCAGTGGCTCAGTGGGCTGAACTGACTGTATGTTGCTAACCCCTGGGCTAGTGGAATTACTGTTCTGTATTAGCTGGAATCCTTGTATTCTTTTCACAAGTGTCACATATTACTTTGTGTCCCCCTGTTGTAACCAGGTGAATACTCTACTCTTTCTTTTGCCCCTCAGAGGTCAGAAATAAATGGGCACTGACTGGTTGTGAGGACACATTAATACGCACATTTACAGGGCTCATGTTCTCATTGGGGAGCATCTGTTTTTCACTTGGGAAGGCAAAGGTGCAATTACTCGTGGTAATAGTTGAACTGGTCCTTGTTTGGCACCTCTTATAATGAATACACTCCAGCTGCCAAGGGAAAAGTAGAACAATATCTCAGTGTACTCCCCAGACAGACAACATCTCCTTTGGGACTTCAAAATTCAGGCTCACACTATTGAGGGTAAAATCAGTACTTTGTTCTTCCTAATGCTTAGCCAGCAATTGTATAGACACATGCATGCAGTAATAAGACACGAGACTGTTTGGTTTAATG